TCGAGGTATTTGGGGGTGCTCATTACGAATATAGCACTTATTAGTAAGTCCAAGAAGGAGAATACCCACATTGCATTTATTTGAAAAGGCATGTCCGCCATCTTGGATTGAGAAATAAGTGCTATATTCGTATTGTGGGTGCATTTCATACGCTTTTTACGAAGTTGGAAGAAGATGAAACGAAATTTTTGAATTATTTTCGGATGAAAAAAGAAACCTTTCAACTTTTATTAACAGCCATATATGATAAAATAACACACGAGGATACTGACATGCGTAAATCTATTTCCCCGGCAGAGAGATTAGCCGTTACGCTAATGTATGTTAAGACATGTTCTATTTTTGCCCAAATTATGTACCGAGGTACCTACAACTACGTCAAAAAAAAACTTTATTTGTATTGCAAACGGGTCAATATTTAAAATCGTTCTATACCCGACAACAACAGCAAAATAAACAATTATCTGATTGAACAATTTTATTTTATTTTTTAATGAATTCACCATAATTTTCTCTACAAAAATGTAGATTTGCACCTGAGGTACATGTTTTGGGTAAAGTTGTATGGAATAATTGATGGATCCTTTAGAGGGGGACTATAGAAAAGGGGAATATTATTGTATAATAATAATAAGCTATAAGGAAAAACTAACAATTACCTTTTTTTTTTTTTTTAAATATAGTAGGTAGCAAAATGTTTTATTACACTCTAAACAGAAATTAAGGAGTTTTAGAAAAATCGAAATCGTAATCAGACGATGCGATTGAACTTAATTCAGGAATCACTGAAGATTGGGAATCATCTTGCTGCATCAGTTCTTGTGGCTTAGGTTGATATTCACTCGGCATTCTGGATGTGGATGGAATGGGTTGTGTTGGCTGAAATTCAAAGGGCATCCTGGATGTGGGTGGAATTGTCTGTGTCAGTTGATATTCATGTATCCTGTAGTCGAGTGTAGCCGTAGTGTAGCCTCGATTAATATTGTAATTGTAATTTTGCTGCTGCATGGACGCTTGATTTCTCAGAGTTAAATTTATCATAAATTTAATGACTTCATATTGAAATTCTACATAATCGTCGTCACTATACTTGTCTACAATCGGAGCAATACCTTTGAAAAAACACATACTCTTACTCTTGTCTTCATCTTCAACAGATTTAATTAAAGAAAGCATTTGTCGATCAACTTCGCTACCGTCTGTCTTTCTCTTCTTGCTTGTTTTTATTCTAATCGTAGTATTGGCTGGTGCGCTAGATTCATTATTGGTTTGTGAGTCAGTTTCTTCTTTGTGAGATTGTGCGATGTTTTTTTCTAATGTAATACTTGCTTCCGTTGTTCGGTGAATCACAATTTTACTTAAAAAGAGCATTTGATCGTAGAATTTATATTTTCGTAGACTTTTCGCACCAGAACCGGATTTACATTCTTTAACTTTTTTGTGATATTTCATCCAGTTATCTCTTGCATTGTTCCATTTTTTAATAATATCTTTACCTAAAAAAGAAAAAAAATGTTACTTACAGGTATTTGGCTGCAGGGAACACATTTAGTGATCTACATTACAGTTTCAGAATGGGTATAAAAACTATCAGCTGTATTGTTCAAGAAGTATGTGAAGCATTATGGGAAACCCTTTCTCCTATTTATATGAAAATACCAACGGAAAACGAATGGTTAACAATAGAAAAAAATTTCAAAACGAATGCAAATTTTCCTCATTGCCTAGGTGCCATTGATGGCAAACATATTTGAATCATCAAGCCAGAGGAAAGTGGTTCAATGTTTTTCAACTACAAGCACTATTTCTCAATAGTATTAATGGCTGTGGTAGACACTGACTATAATTTTATTTTTATTGATGTAGGAGCCTACGACAAAGAATGCGATTCAGCAGTATTTAAAGAAACAAAATTTTGGAAAAGAGTAATAGGCGATAAATTAAATATTCCTAGACCTAAGCAGTTGCCAGATGCAGACAGTGAGTTACCTTATGTATTTGTTGCTGATGAAGCTTTCGCTTTACATCAACACGTACTTCGTCCTTATGGTAGACATCAACTTGACTCAATAAAAAAAATATTTCATTATCGTCTCACGAGAGCGCGACGCTACGTTGAATGCGCATTTGGTATTTTATCCAATAAATGGAGGATTTTTTCATAGACCATTGAATGTTTCAACAAATACTGCTGTTAACATTGTAAAAACATGATGCTTACTACAAAACATAATTCATAAAGAAGAAGGTATTGCTAATAATGCTACTGACAATGCTAGTTTACCCATGATGTCTACTGATAGCGCTCTATGCAATTTGCCTCATTCCCATTCAACACGAGGTATTGTAACAGCAAATATGATTCATAACAAATATGCAGAGTGTTTCATGTCACCAGTAGGGCGTGTACCCTGGCAAAATCAATATGCACAGAAATAATGAAAATAAAATGTTACTTACCAAAATTATTTTTTCTTTCTCGGACAACGTTTCAAAACCTTCATTTAACGCAAGACAAATTTCCCTCCAAGCGGCAAAACTCGACTGTCTATTTTTATAGCACTCTTGGGTTTTGTCCCACAGTACAAGCCTATTTTCAACCAAACTTATTAATAATTCCAAGTCAATATCATCCATTTTTTAAGAACGCAGGTAGGCGGCACTCAATTTACAGAAAACCGGCAATATCGTACATCCGGCGTAAATTGTTCGCCGGACAGATGTCCGGTGCATGTACACACTTTCATTATAAACCATACACCACCGCGAATCCGGTAAAAAACACGGTCAGTTATCCGGTGAAAAAAACGGACGTATACAAGCGCTTTTACGCCGTTTTTGGCGATAATCTTTGTTTCGAGTTTGTCTGACTCCAGGAATTCTAATAATTCGTCGTCACACATCTAAAAATACAATAATTTACTAGATTACGTATATTTATACTTGTTATTATTATGGTTAGTTACACAGTATATTATTTATCAACCGCTTACAACACGTTTTAACTGATACACAATTGATAAATCCTAAAAATAAATGAAAAATTATTTGATAGAATAGCAAACATGAACCGAATTTTATGACATTACAGCGAACCAAAATCGTATCGACCACAAACTAATAAGGTCCAATAGCACGTCATGGTACGAAATATGAATGAATGTTAAGGATATCGAGTTCTTAGGTTTTCGCGATTGTTACACATAGGAAATGAAACTATTTTTCCGGATTTAAATCGCGTATATTTGTTTTTTCAAACAAACCGACGTTTCGGGCCCTTTATAGGTCCCATGGTCACGGTTGACTGAGGTGGTACAGTCTTCAACCAGTTATGTCTAATATTAATGCAAACCACCCTATTTTTTTCCACTATAGTTACAATAGTTATTAATTAAATACCTTATTTTTAATTTTACAAAGAAAACATTCCAATTTACGCTACATTAAGTTTTACAAATTATTTTATTGAATGAATTTTTATGAAGTTTAATTTATTATTAATTATTAATAGAAATTAGAATAAACTGAAACATATTAATTAGTACTGCAGTCTTATGTCTGTTTGGGATTTTTCATTAGAGGAAATACTGGATCCCAAACTGGTGGTACGGAGAAACCATCTTCCCTGTTGAAATTAGGATGTTTTTTAATTTCAATGGCCTCTCGCAGCATCCTGGGCAGATAACGGACTTCTTTTGCAAGGACCTGGGGTTTGTCAAACTTCATTGAATGTGTAGGTTTATCCATGACATGCTCGCAGACTGCAGACTTGTTTACGCGACGGTGTTTGACATCAGCTATATTATGTTCTTTGACGCGGGTACAAATACTTCGCTTTGTTTGTCCAATATAAGAGAGACCGCACTCACAGTCAAGCTTGTAAACTCCTGCATCCTGTAAGGGGATGTTACATTTCACGGGTCTCAGGAACTGAGAAATCTTCCTCAGGGGCTTGAAATAGGTCTTGATAGATGCCGATCTTGTCTGTAACACCTCTCACGTAAGGTAAGATGGCAGGTCTTCGCTCGACTGTTGGTGGTTTCACACGACTGACTAATCTATGCCACTGAATAATCTATGCTTAGCATGTATAGCCTATACCTATTAGGAGCTTCGATAGTAGGTACGGATTGAAACACGTCTTGACACCACAGCGTATATTGCGAGACAAAGGGAAAGAATACAGAGAAAAACACTTATACCTACTTAATTAATTGTTAACATAAAACTACCCCTTATTGCATACATCACACCTCTCAACTTAATTACTAGTTCTTACATGAGTTATATAACAATAAAAAACTTAGATTTAATTACACACAAAAAGGGATTAACGTAATTTAATAGTCTATGCCATAACGCTGTACGGGTTTACCAACTCGCTTGGGACGAGTCACAAAAGAGCGAAATGATGGCGGCTGCGCAGAGCCAGGTTCACCTTGTTGAGTGGCCGGTGAACACTCACCAACAATGTTACCCTCACGGGAAAACGGCGGCTGTGCCAAGTTAGGCTCACTCTGTTGAGTGCTCGATGAACACTCACTAGAAATGAGGCCCTCACCGGCAGGGGATGTTAAAACCCCGTCCTCGGTCTCACCCGCGACCTCCGCCTCCGCCGTCACTTCTGCATGACCCCCAGCTTCCTCACTCCTATAACTCTCCTTACCGGGACATGGAACGTCAGACATTCTAGACCTGCGCTTCACTTGATCAACGTGCCTGTACATTAGTCGACCGTCACCGCTATCCACTATGTACCTCCGCGAACCTTCGCTGCCCACTACTGTGCCCTTGTGCCATTTGTCTGGCCCGCTGAAACCCCTAGCCCACACCGGCTCACCGGGGGCGAGCGCGCGGATTACGCCGCCTGCATTTTGCAGCTGACGATGCTGCGCGCGCCTGACGCTCTGCTCGCGTGCACTATCACTGCGCAATAGGTCCAGTCTCGAGCGCAACGGCCGCCGCTGCAGCAGCATGGCGGGCGTGTCGCCCGTACTACTATGGATGCTGTTCCTATATGATAGCAAAAACGTTTGCAAAGCCGCATCAGTATCTATCGATTCCCTATTAGCTTTTTTTATCACCTGTTTGCAAAGTTTGACCGCGTTCTCGGCCGCCCCATTCGACGCAGGGTGATAAGCAGGCGAGAAAGATTGTTGAATGCCATTGTTATTCAAAAAACTCCTGAAACTCACAGCTCGTAAACGGGGGTCCCTGGTCCGATACGACTTCCATTGGCAGTCCAAATCGTGCAAATGTGCTTCTAAGTACTTTAATAACACATGTCGCATTTGTCCTAGGCATTTCATATACTTCGAGCCATTTACTGCTGGCATCGACAAGTACTAAATAAGTTTTACCGTTCAACGGTCCCAGGAAATCTATATGTATCCGACTCCAAGGCTGAGTATGATACGGCCAAGGTTTCGGGGGGGCGCGCGACGGCATCTGCGCCTCCGCTGCACATGTCTCACATTGTTTGCAAACTGCTTCTAAGTCCGCGTCTATATTGGGCCACCACACATAGCTTCGAGCTATAGATTTAGTTTTAACTATGCCCATATGACTCATGTGCAACTGCCTTAATACTTTTTCCCTTAAACTTTGAGGTATGACTAATCTATAACCCCACATAAGACACCCACGATCTATGTATAACTCATTGCGTTTGTTATGAAAAGGTCTTATCGCGTCGTCCTTACATACATTTTGCCAGCCAGTTTGAACGTACGACATTACGCGGCGCATAATAGTATCTTTTGAAGTTGCAACTTTTACATCCTTATTTGTTATCGGTAAAAATTGCTCAACGAAATGCATATAAGTCTTTTCCACGGCTCTAGTCTGCTCGAAACCGGTTTGCGGTAACCGCGACAGCGCGTCGGCGCAATTCTTGTGTGATGCGACATATTCTATATCATAATTGTATCCCGATAACAGTACGGCCCACCTCTGCAAGCGTGATGCCGCCATAATAGGAATGCCTGCTTTATTGCCTAATATATACGTTAAGGGTTTGTGGTCGGTTCTGAGAGTGAATTTCCGACCATACAAATACTGATGAAACTTTCTAATTCCATACACAATAGCCAGAGCCTCCCTATCTATTTGCGCGTACGCTCGCTCGGTTGCACTGAGCGAGCGTGAGGCATACGCCACGGGCCTCTCGCCGTCCGGCGTCAAGTGGGAGATCACCGCGCCCACCCCCACGCCACTCGCGTCAGCTGTCATAATCAGTGGCTGCTCCAACGAATAGTGTACCAGTACTTCGCCTGAACCCAGCCGGTGTTTAATGCTAGTAAATGCACTTTGACATTCGCTACTCCACACAAACCGAGCATTAGCGCGGAGAAGATTATACAATGGCGCCAAAATTGTACTTACATTTTTTTAAAAACTTTGCATAATACATGACCATGCCTATGAATGCGCGTAGTTCCGACACATTAGTGGGTGCCGGGGTATTAATAATAGCTTTAATCTTGTCCGGGCAAGTCTGAACCCCGTTCCTGTTAATAACGTGACCGAGATATGTTACCGATTCCTCTAAGAAAGAGCATTTTTCTCTCTTTACCCTTAAGCCGTGCGACCGCAGACGTTCAAAGACCCTATGCAAATTATGTATGTGCTCACGCGTGTCCCTTCCGGTGATGATAATATCGTCCAGAAACACACCTACGTACGGTAAATCAGCAAACAATTGTTCTAAATGTTTTTGGAATATACCTGGGCTAGACGACAGGCCAAACACTAACCGGTTATACATAAACATCCCCTTGTGGGTATTTATAACAGTATACTTTTTTGACTGATCTAATTCAAACTGTGCATATGCTTGCGATAAATCAATTTTGCTAAACCTCTCACCGCCGTGTAATCGAACTAACAAGTCTTCTACCCGTGGTAGCGGATAACGATCGACTTCAATGACTTTATTTAATGTTAATTTATAGTCTGCGCAAATCCTGACATTACCGTCTTTCTTGACTACTGGTACTATTGGAGTAGCCCAGTCGGAGCGGTCCACAGGAGTGAGGATGCCGTCGTCAATTGGAATGTTTTCTTTGTAAAATTAAAAATAAGGTATTTAATTAATAACTATTGTAACTATAGTGAAAAAATACCTGTTTGCATTAATATTAGACATAACTGGTTGAAGACTGTACCACCTCAGTCAACCGTGACCATGGGACCTGTAAAGGGCCCGAAACGTCGGTTTGTTTGAAAAAACAAATATACGCGATTTAAATCCGGAAAAATAGTTTCATTTCCTAATGTTAAGGATTTCAAAGGAGTTGCGGATCAATTTAGGATTTGGTTTGGCCTTGGCGTAAATGCTTTTGACATGATCGTTTTTAGTACGTCATGGTACGAATAAGCGAAACGGACTTGTTTAGGTTCATAGTTGAATCGCAATAAGAGGCCATGGTAAGGCCCCTGAGCTTAATAAAGCAATCATTTCTGGAAATAAAACAATTTCAGACAAAGATGATATCTATTTTTAATTTACTTAATTAACATTAATTTTTAATTACTTGATCTATACTTAGAAGTATATAAAATAATTACTATGTACAAATCAGAGCTTTTATTACGTTAAGCATTTGGCTCTGGGTGCACTGACAATTAATCAACAGTGATTTAATTTTCTTATAGATTTACAAATGGATGCATCTGTCCGTTTGTACATGCTTGAATTCCAAATTACTAGGGCTTTTATTGGAACTTTAATTTCTTATGTTAGTACATATGTAGATATTTTGGTTACCTATTAAACTGACTATATATTTTTTTTAGCAAGGAACATTCTACCTGAAGAATGTCAACAGACTTCCGGCGTCTTGCACTTTTTTGATGAGCTTTTCGATTCCTTCAATGGCAGCCGTGATAATCAGAAAAAAAGGGGCGGGAAACCATTCTTGCGTGTCACACCAAGTTCGTGTCACAACAACGTCTCGGCAAGCGCAAAGAAAGTACTGAGTACTATGAAATTTATAAAAAATAATAAAGAGGTAACAGTACCGTCTGTAACTAACTGGTTACATACAGTTGACAAAATCGAATATTGAAGGGATGTGTTGTTATAGAATAATATAATCTCAGTACAGAGTACTAAAAAAACCGACCTCAAAAGTACGTCGAATTACGTCTATTTGCTAAGTTTCATTGAAATATCCCCTAGTTCGCCACTATACAGGACTTGATACTGGAGATAATAAAAATAGGTTCTCACTACGACACACTACTCAAAGTATATCGAGGGACGAACGCCTTGAATTGGAGAAATAGCAAAATCAACTAAATAATTGCTAAAAGTAATTGCTCCTAAAATAAAGTTAGGCGCTATTTATAAAAATGAATCTTCATGCGTGTTCTCGCATGCCACCAAAATCAGCCACCCTTCGAGGTGGATGATTTTCTTCAAAATGAAATGGGAACACTATGGAAATACTCCCTTTCCAACAAAAAAAGAATCATGAAAATCGATTCACAAATACCGGAGTTATCGCGTAACATACATACAAAAAAAAAGAACATACAGTCGAATTGAGAACCTCCTCCTTTTTTAAAGTCGGTTAAAAATAATATAAAATCAATTTAGATGCGTCATTTCAATCAAGACCCAATTGAAAATTTTTTTGGTGCAATACGTAGCCATGGGTACAGAAATATCAGCCCCACCCCAGAGGGATTTGAAATAGCTTTTGCATCATTGCTAATAAGTAATTTAACGGCCACTCATTCTCCGGGATATAACTGTGAGAAAGATGCCTGTACAACATTATTTAAATCTATGAAAGAGCTTTTTAAATTGACTAAACAAAACAACACATCCAAAGAAATTGATATATCTTATACGCAAGAAGATACTTTTACGGATTTCGACACCAAAATAAGTAACACAAGAATATTAGCGCAACTGGAATATGTAACCGGTTATTTACTATGGGAAACAAAAAAACATGTGTCTTCCAATTGTGTTACATGTAAAAAACAATTGTACAATCAAAAAACCGACAGCGAATATTTGCCAGGGAATTTAATAAAAAAAACAGTATGTGATGTACCCTAGCTACGAGTTTACTAAATCTTTTTCGAAAATGCAAGATATTCCAATGTATATTTTAAAAAAATACAGTAATATAAACAACATTAAAGCCTTAGGCAAAGACAATACTTTATATTGAATTAAATATGAATTTTAATAATTGTCCAATACATGACAAACAAAATACAGAAGTTATTTACGAACTTGTGTGTAATTTTTTTTGTTTAATTGGTGCAAAGATATTAATAAAATATTAAAAGGTCATAATAGACAATATTCAGGTGTCGATGCAATCAAAAGCTTGGCTTTTAATTACGCTAGTAATAGAAAAAGTAATAAATATTTTTATAAATATAAAATTATTGTTTTAATTTTGTTCATCGGTTTGAACCGACTACCTTTTCCAGCTGATTCTGACAAAATTAAGATATAATAACATCTTGGAAGACAACAATAAGCTTGATTTTGTCAGCGTCAGCTGGAAAAATAGTAGACAATAAAAATGTGCATTTATATCATTGCATGATATACCTGATGCATTGTATATCAAGAGACTCAGTCCATCAACTGTAGATGGCATTAGCATCAATATTTGCTACTGATGTCTCTATTCCCGTATATTCAATGTACTCTGTGGTAAGAAAAGCGCGACTATGAATACAAAAAAAAATTTAGTTTACGCTACTTAGGGTCGTATTCCAGAACTATAATGCTCAAGTCAGGATCTGAGTATGATTTCAAGCACTGGAAATACCAGTTGTTCCCGGTAGTCTTACCCAGTAGTCTTACCAGTAGTACTACTGGGAGTTTTCATCCCAATAAACTTACTAGTAAGATTACACGGAACTTTGTTCCTAGTAGACTTACCAGTAAAACAAAACAATATTATAATGTAGACCTGAGAAGTTGTTATTATGACCACACAATGACATATTATAAAACATTTTCCTTGACATCTTGTCACATAATATCCATCAAAAGGCTCAAATTATTTTGAAATATTCTACTCAAAAATGTGTGATATAAATATAATAAAACGGAGACGAGGTGAAGTGTTACTATTAAATGGTTACCAGTATTACAAATTAAAGAATTACAAAGATGGAGGAATTATTATCGTAAAAGCAAATGCGTGGGATCGGTTACTATAATTAATAGTATTGTGTCCAAAGCGGTTTCTCATTTACCAACATGTTCCCCTGATTATGCCCAAAACGAAATAGACTTAAAATTAGATGACTGTAAAAAACAAGCAAGTGCATCAGATACAGTGTCTGTACCCAAGATCTATAGAAAAGCCGTGGGTTCACTCGAAAATCGTGGTATCGACATAATAAATTACCTCAGTTCTCCAGTATAAAATCAACGCTTTACCGGCAAAGAAATCAAGCACTTAAAGTAGACAAATTATATTATAAATATTTTACCGATATTAAGGTTCCATCTAAATTTCATTCATTTCTTTTGGCGGACTACTATCGTTATGACGACGCAAGAATTTTAGTGTTTGCATCCACGGAGGCAAGAAATGTTATGACGGAATGTGACGACTATTTCAGTGATGGCACATTTGGTGCCATTCCAGAACCATTCCTGCAACTCTATACAATTCATTGCGATCTGGGGAGTTCTCAAGATGTTACAAATATAATACCCGTTGTATATGCCTTCCTTCCGGATAAAACAAAGGACACATACATTGCATTACTACAATTAATAAAAAGCCAAATACCGCACTGGAACCCCAAGCGATTTAAAACTGACTACGAAGATGCCATGATACAGGCTATTAGATATGTTTTTCCACGAATATTACCGAGCGGATGCTATTACCACTATTGTGAGAGTCTGAAAAGAAAAACCAAATCTCTAAAATTAAAGGCGTACAGAATAGTGTCACTTTGCAAACTTTTGCCGTTATTACCCAGAGAAAATATAATGGGTGGTTGGAGTTACGTAATAGATGAAATGGAAAGCATCATTGACCAAGAAAAAATTGAAGAATTTAAAAGATATATGAACAGAAATTGGTTATCCAAAAATATTATTGAAAGAATGTGCGTATTCGGCCAACGGCATCGTACTACCAATTATTTGGAATCGTGGCATTTTGTGTTGAATGGTGAAGTTGGTAAGAAAGCCTGCAATTTACATCAATTGTTGAACATTTTAGTTTCTGATG